TAGACTACATCACACTGCCTAAGTGCGAGGGAAAGCAAGATGTTTTGATCATAGTGGGTAAATTTTCTAGCTGGATTGAAGGTTATCCAACTCCCAAGGGTACTGCTGCACACACTGCTAAAATGCTAGTGCAGGATTTTATTCCTAGGTGGGGACTTCCTGAACAAATCAAGTCTGATCAAGGCACTCACTTCACTGGACAGGTAGTGCAGGCAGTCTGTAAACTTCTAAATGTGAACTGGAAACTTCACTGTCCATACAGGCCACAAGCTTCAGGACAGGTAGAGCGTGCAAACCGTGTCATCAAAGAATGGCTGACTAAATTCCATAGTCAGGGAGTAAAATGGACTGCAGCACTGCCTGCAGTACTTTGTAGTATAAGGGCAACTAGCAACAAAACTGTTGGACTTAGTCCTTATGAAGTTGTGACAGGTAGACCAATGCTGGTCCCAGGTGTGATTGATCTCTGTAAAGAAGATGTGCATTAATTGTCAGATGCACTTCTTAACTACTGTCAAACACTAACACAAGCAGTACAGGCAGCTCAGAATCAGGTCATTAGTGCTTGGGGTAAACAACCTGAAGGTGGCCATACCATTATTCCAGGTCAATTCGTCATGGTGAAGAAACATGACAAACAATCTCTAGAACCTCGGTGGGATGGTCCATATCAGGTTCTTTTGATTACTGACTCAGCAGTGAAGTGTGAAGGAAAGAAAACATGGATTCACGTTTCTCATTGTAAGGTTGTGCCTGCTCCTCAGAACTAAGTTTTAGGGTCAGTATGAGAGGAGGTGGGTCATGTACTATCATAGGGGTTACCCTTGTGGTGAAGATATCTCCACACTGTGCATCACCATAACAGCCTCCTCTGAGGGACAGATAGTGGGGAGCAGCAGTTAACCTCACATGAGTGAAGAATAAAAAACTTTCAAACTTTAATGATGAACAGTTCACTGCATGTTTCCTTTGTGTATTCTACAGAACCACACAGAAGGTGGACAGTGTCCCCCTCCACCCAGGACATCGAACTGATGATTGAAGCATAAGCCACAACACCTGAAGAACAGAGCATATCTTCCAGATGATTTACTGAGTAGTATCTTCAGGACTTCCTGTACAACTGACCAGAGACAAGTGTACCTTCAGGACAACCTGCTCAAGCAACTGATGCTGTGGGGTTCACTAAAACAACATGTATGCATCACAAATTCAAACACCGTGTATGATCACAGCAATGGTCTGTGGTGTAAGCGCATGGGATTGCACATACATGCCCAATGAAAATGGGATATTTCATCATGCAGAAGCAAATTGCCCAAGCTCCCTGACCTGCACCTATCATGGACATGTTTTGCCTGAAGACACCATATGTTTTTGGCATTTCTGCAGCAATAAAGACTTAGAAGCTTTAGGACCAAGTTTACTAATGGCGAGTTTTAAAATAAAAGCAGAGTTGGTAGAAGTGAAACAACGAACATACATTCCATTTGTCCTACAATGGCATGGGACTTTATTTTTCACCAAGACAAAATATGAAAATGAAGGCTTATACAGATGTACATGCGATGATCATGTTCAGTATCACCAACTTTATGTAGGTATTGCATGGAGAACAAGCCAAGGGGGAAGTCATGTTCCAAGCATTTCCTTGGATAACCCAAGAGAGAATGCTTTTTCCCGTCTCTTTTCACTTCCTAGCCTCTTTGGGAACCAGTCTGTGTGTGTCCCTCAACCTGTGAGTGTAACTGGAGGAATCTCATGGACAGCACATCCGATCTCCAATTGTGACACATGCTCTGTCTTACAAGCTCATACTAGCAAGCCAGTCAATATTTCCTCATGTCATAATGTTACTGTTCCAGCAATTAGTAGCTGTTGTGTTCCTGGTGAGAAGACATGTGACACCACTTCACTTCCGACAACCAACATTTCTGAACTTATCACCTCCAAATTCTTTCCTTGGTGTATTGAAAACAGAGGTGAATCATCTTCTTTAGGTGAGATTCCCAAACATTCATGTGCTCTAACCTATGTCTTAGAAAGCGAGGGTAATGTCTACAGACACTCACCAAGATCATCACTGAAGCTTCCTTCTCAAGCCATTCTCAAAGAGCCTGTTGATGATGAAGACTGTGTACAAGAAGGTGCTCATTGCCATAAACTGCTGACCTTTATTCAGTTATGTCGTCTACCTGCACCAGTAGGAACATACTGGCTCTGCGGAACCACAGCATGGTCTGAGTTGCCCTCTAGAGTCAACAGCCGATGCACCCTTGCATACCTTTTTCCATCCATGAGAAGTAAAGAAGAAAAGTTAAAACTCAAAGCTGGTAGCGCTGACCAAAGTGACACCTGTATTCCTGATTTAACCTGTCAACAAACTCTGTGGTCTCGCATTCTAGGGGCCCTAATTCCGTCCTATGGTGTCATGCAATCCCTAGATCAGGTCCGTACCCTTTCAAGACAAATGGACCAACTAATAAATGACACTGTTTTTGCTCTGAGCAACATCAGCATAGCTTTAGCCTCTCACAGAATGATAATTCTGCAGAATTGCATTGCTTTGGACTATTTACTATCCAGCAGAGGTGGAACTTGCTCAGTAGTGGGCCCCGAATGCTGCACTGATGTAATAAATCCTAGGGAAGATATTTCAAAGATCCTGACTGACTTGCACAATTTGCATGACCAGGTAACAACCATGAGCAACTCTGATACTTGGCTACATGGACTTCTTGGACATTTTTGGCACAATGTCATAGAGATAGGCATTGCCCTATTCTGTACAGTTATAGCCATTTTGACTGTTTGTTCCTGCCTTCGACTCCTCTTTGTACATATGTTTCATGCTTGTAGTCAAAATAAAATTTTGTGATTCTCCATTAGGGAGAATCAAAGGGGGGATTGAGAGAAAATATTGTCACCATATGTTATTTTCCATTCTAATGTAATTCTCTCAACATATGTTACTCTTCTGTCTCTGTTATTTTCTTATAATCTTAACCATGTTTATTGTAGAGTTTTAGCAAATGGTCTTTTGCTTGCAGAAGTAGTGATAACTGTCAGACTCTCACCTTGCCCCCTCCCTCCTTTGTTCACGCTTGCATTAACTACACTGGAAATGCTGTGAGGAAAAGACTAGAAAAGTCTTCCACACTTGTACAGTAACACAGACATTCATACATGAATTCTTCCACACTTATACAGTAATGTTGACATCCATGCCTGAGATTTACCACACTTACACAGTAACATCCATACTGGAATACCACAACATAGACATCCTGATGACATAGACTCATGCCTGAGTTCTACCATACTCCCAGGGAAACACTGACATTTACCTAAGTTCTAATGCACAAGGGCCACTGATACAGTCTGAGGGCACCAGGTCACACACAGAGGCCAGATGAGCAGGGCACTGGGAAGCTGCCTGAACCAGACTCTAAGAGGCCAGCACTAGAACAAGACAGGAAGCTAGTTCTAAACCCAGATGAGGATCTGACACTAATAGCTGCTCAAAGGACAATAGGAACACAGGAGCGGCTGAGAATTCAACCATAGGCAAGAAAAACGGAATGACTAGGCCTTTAACCACAGGCAGAAGGACTGAAGCCACTGGGCCTTCAGCCACAGGCAGGAGGACTGGAGCAACTAGGCCTAACAAAACAAGAAGGAGGGCAGGAGTGTCTGGGCCTTCAGCTACAGACATAAGGACAAGAGCAACTAAGCCTTCAACCACAGGCAGGAGAACAGGAGCTACTAGGCCTTTAGCAACAGGTAGGAGGACAGGAGCAACTAGGCCTAAAACTACAGGCAGGTGGACATGAGTGTCTGGGCCTTCAGCTACAGACAGAAGGACAAGAGTGACTAGGCCTTCAGCCACAGGCAGGAGGACAGGAGGGACTGGGCCTTTAGCCACAGGCAGGAGGAAAGCAGGCACAGGCACTTGTCCTTATGTCTGTGGCTGAAGGCCCAGACACTCCTGCCCTCCTTCTTGTTTTGTTAGGCCTAGTGTCTCCTGTCCTCCTCCCGCTTCGGTCCCTCTGTTTACAACTTAAGGCCTTGTTGTTCTTGTCTTTCTGTCTGTAGCTGCAGACCCAGACACTACTGTCCACCTTCTTGTCATTGAAGTCCTAGTCGTTCCGTTTTTCCTGCCTATGGTTGAAGTCTCAGCTGCTCCTGTGTTCCTATTGTCCTTTGAGCAGCTATTAGTGCCAGATCCTCATCTGGGTTTAGAAGTAGCTTCATGTTATGGTATTGTGTTAGAGTTCAAGTATGGATGTTACTGTGTAAGTGTGGTAAATCTCAGGCATGGATGTCAACATTACTGTATAATTGTGAAAAAATTCATGTGAGGATGTCTATATAAATATAAGTGTATAAGTGTGGAAGACTTTTCTAGTCTCCCAGCATTTCCAATGCAGTTAATGCAAGCGTGGACTTAACCAAGCTTTACAGATGCAAGAATGTATGCAACTTTTTTTCAGCTCATGAAGATCAGTACACACAAAGCTGCAATTAAAGAAGTAAACAATAGATGTATATAAGAAGCACCAACACTTAGCTTAGTAAGTTTTTTAGAATTCCTAATCCAAAATGTGGGTGAGGTGTTTATATGATTGTGATATCAATATGCTGTGAAAAATGAGCACTGGAGAGTAAAAAGTGGTTGTTGATTCATGTTTGCAATAGTTAGTTCACAAGACAGAGACATATGCATGTGACTGAATGAAAATATTTTTGTCCTTCAAATTGTAGTATTCAGTTTATAACAATGATGGAGTGGTATCATATCTAAGGAAATAGTTCACTTTAAAACACGCAAAACCTAACACTGTAATCTTGAATGTTTTGGTTAAAATAAGCTCACTATAATTATCTTGAAGTAGGAGTAATAACTTACTGTATCATAGTTTAGTTTACAGTTAAAAACAGTTTAAATTTGTTTTTGATATCCTGTTTTTACAGGCTGATCTGCCCTCTGAATAATGTGGTCGACCTCATGCCCTTTTGAAATAAAAGGAACACAAATAATATCTCAAAAACAATATCATGATCTAAAAACATTTAGAATATTTTAAAATTTAATTCAATGATTTCATAGGGATTGTGTATATGATAAATAGCGGGTTTTACTTTCCAGCTATGATGAATGGCTGAAATATAGGTTTCTATATTTAGAGTTACAAGATCAAAGTGGACCGGCTTTCTTCATTTTAGAAAGTTAAATTTACACAGCTTTCCCATTGAGTACAAATAAAGTTAAGTGAGGAGTAAATTTTGCATATTAGAGATTTTTTTTTCTTTTTTAATGAGCAGTGTAGATATACTATTAGTTTTCTATGCAGTGGTACTGTATGTTGATAGATATTTTCTCATGGCATACAAAATAAATTTAGCCATGTAAAGCTTTTAACAAAAACGTTTAAAAAGACGTTCTTTTCCACATTATTTTCTTGACTCTACTAGAAATCTCTTGCAATTTCAAACCATACATAATAGGATTAATAAGAGGAGGAATGACCAAATATTCTACAGACACTACCACAGAAAAAATCTGAGGTACATTTCCTTCAAATCTGCTGTTGATCACTTCAAAGCAGGAGGTAAAAGTGAAACTGATGAAAATAATAAGGTGTGGGAAGCAGGTCTGCAGAGCTTTTCTCCTGAACTCTTTTGAGTTCTTTAAACAGACTTCAAGTATTCTAATATAGGAGTAGATTATGAAGATCACTGGTGGAAATAGCAGAAGAATTAAACCAAACAGGCTATATGAATTGCTAGCGGATATGTCCCCACAGCTTAATTTAGCAATTGCGGAATTATTACAGTATATTCTGTTTAATTTAAATGTACACAGCTGAAGCTGGTATGTTAATATTACTGCTATGCCAGTAAAAAAGGAAGGCATAAACCAACAGAAAAATAAGAGCATTTTTACAGTGGACATTTTTACAAGTGTTGCGTATTGTAGTGGTTTACATATGGACACATATCTGTCAAAGGCCATAGCTGCTAACAGTCCGAATTCTGAAGCTCCATATGTGTAAATACAAAAGCCCTGAAACATGCAGCCTGAGTAAGAAGTAACTGGTCTTTCAGACAGAAAATCACTCAGCAGTTTAGGATAAATGACAGTCGTCCCAAAAAGGGAATTGAAAAGGAAAGCAGCAATGAAAATGTACATCGGCTCATGGAGACATTTGTTTGTGTAAATGACAAAAATGATGACAGTATTACAGAAAATAATCAACAGATAAACTGCCAGAGTAATTATAAAGTAAAAATATCTGTACTTCTGCAGTTCTACATGCCCCTCCATTAAGAAGTATGTAACATAAGATGAATTATCCATGAATTCCCATGAAGTAACCCATGAACCGCTAACACATCAGGTTTGGCTGTAAGATCTGATGCTGGTCACAGTAACATTCTACTTCAATCAGTCATGATCTATTAGACATTATAAGCAATGTTGAACTGTGGCCTTACAGTCAGGCAATGGGGAGAAAAATGGCTTTGTGTGTATTTATACTTTCTCGAATAGTTACATCTGTTTATTTACGGACTAAGTCACGAGTCTCTAGCCCAGCCCACCTTTGATTCTATTGTAACAGTCAAAAAAAGAACACTTGTAAACTGCAATATCTAGTGTAATAATTGAGGAAGATATTAGACATTTCTCAGTAATACATTTATACTTTTTATTAGTATAATCAGATAAATAGAATAAACTGTTTCGTTCTCTTTCCAAGACCCTTTTAGTCTCTCTTTCTCTTGAAACCTGCTTCTGGTTAAAGTTATGTTTCTGCAGCTTATTGACTTCTTTTGTCTTTGTGTGAACAGATTGTTCTGTGTTCCTTTCTATGCTTTAAGGTCTGTTCCTGTCCATGCTTTTTGCTCTGTTTTAGTCCCCCATTTAGGCCTCATTCTTCTTGATGCTGGAACTATTTCTGTTCTTGATTCTGATCCATTTTTGTGTCCCTGATTAAGACCTTTTTCAAGTTCAAAAAAGTAGTATGTTTTCATTTCTCAATACAACTTGACAATTTTTCTACACACATTCATATATACATAGCCTGGAATAAAGCAGCATATAAGTCATGAATGAACTAAACGGAAAAGGGTCAAGATTAGCCAAGGTGTATGTTGGAAAGTGTCTAAGAAATCCAAGTGGATGTTGAAGAGGTTCTAGATTAGTCCAGGCATTAGTCAGTGCATTAAGTAAATTGTCTTCTTGGGGGAACAGGCTGTTGCAGTGTTTGGAAGTGGTGTAATGGATGCTCTGTTATCTTCTACCAGATAGCAGGATGGTGAAGAGTCCATGAGATGGGTGGGAGGGGTCGTCCACAATGCTGGCAGCCTTGTGGATTCAGTGCTTGTGGTAGGTGGTGTTGATTTTTAATAAAAACACCTTAATTATTTTCACAACTGTCCTCACAATCTGCCATAGAATATTCCGGTCTGAGATGGTGAAGTTCCCATTCCAGACAGTAAGACAGCTGGTCAGCATGCTTTTTATTGTCCTCTTCTAGAATGTAATGAGGATACAGGGGTCAACAATCCCCTCCTTCATCTTATGAACATTAAGAGATAGCATGTTGAGTCTGCAAGCTGTTCCACTTCCCCTCTGTCTGTGGACTCATCATAGTATCTGGTAAGACCCACCACTGTAGTATCATCAGCAAACTTCCGGATGCGATTTGAGCTGTGCTGCAGCACTGTCGATAGTTAGCAGTGTAAACAGCCGGTATTCATGTTAGTGGTGCTGGAAATGGTCTTGCCGATCCTGACACACTGAGGTCTCCCTGTCAGGATCCAGTGGCAGAGGGAAGTGTTCAGGCCCAGTAAGCTCAGCTTTCCAGTACGTTGCTGTGGTATAATTATGTTGAATGCTAAAATGAAAGCTTTAGCACAAGTTCTGCCAGGGAGACTACAAGGCTACGTCGCCCATTACTCCGACCAATCACAAGCTTCCACTTGTCTTTAAAATGACTCGACTCACACACCCCACCTCACTTCTTGCCTCTGGTCCCTCTGGCTCCATCTGCCCCGGATCTCCAGCTGGTTCAGGTGATTCAGGATCTTGTGGACTCACTGCCTAGAGTCTCAGTTGGTTGCTGTTGAGCACTAAGTCAGCACCACCTCCGGGAGTGGTCTGTCTTCTAATTCAGATCTCCCCATCCTCTCCGCCTCTGCTGCAGCTGTCCTGGCTTCTGCTCACTCTGCGGCTCCAGCTACCCCGCTTCCTTGTGCCTCTGCTGTCTCGTCCCTGCCTTCCTTCAGTCTCTCGACCGCTGTGCCTGCTCAGACCTTGGGTAGGCCCTTCATTCCTCCTGCTGCAGTAGCTGTTTCGTCTTGTTTGCGGTCTAATATCATTCAGGGTAAGGATGTAATCTGCTTCTCCCCTCTCCGGCTATCGATCGGCAAGTGGTCGATTGTGGTGACATTTGCATTTTCTAAAAAAAAAGTTTGTTGTTGCTTTTGACGTCTATAGGGGCATTTTGTGCCAGATCTATCCTGACCGTAGGGAGGAGCTGGACCCTTTATTTGTCTATGATGGCGGACTTTAGCCAGCGTTACAGCGGTACACTTTTTTATGAATACCACAAAGCTTTTTCAGCTAAGGCTGCCTTGTATATTTTTCTTTATAACTCCAGACTGGACTAGTCTGTCATGGACACTAAATTGCTGGCTCGCCACTTCATCAGCCACCGCAAGGCCCCCAGTCCCGATGGCGCCCACAGTCGAGTGCTTAAAGCATGTGCCAACCAGCTGGCTGAGGTTTTCACTAACATCTTTAACCTCTCCTTAAGACTGTAAGTGATTCCCACATGCTTTAAGAAAACCACAATTGTTCCAGTCCCCAAGAAATCGTCTGTCACCTGCCTGAATGACTGCTGCCTTGTTGCACTGACATCTACAGTTATGAAGTGCTTTGAGTGGCTGATCAAAGCTCACATCTGCTCAACACTTCCAGCCACCATGGACCCTCACCAATTTGCATACCACTCTAACAGATTCACAGACGACGCCATTGCACTAACAATACACACTGCTCTCACACACCTGATAGATTACAGCTCAGCATTCAACACAATCATCCCTGCCAAACTCATTCCTAATGTCACAGACTTGGGTTTGAATTCTCATCACTGCAACTGGACACTGGACTTCCTGACGAGCAGAACCCCAAGTGGTGAAAGTTGGGAACAGCTTCTCTTCCACACTGACTCTGAGCACAGGGGCTCCCCAGGGATGTGTACTCCCTCCTGTACTCCCTGTATACACATGACTGTGTAGCCAAACACACATCTAATATCATCTTCAAGTTTGCTGATGACACCACCATCCTCAGCCTCATCACTGATGGAGATGAAACAGCCTACAGAGACGAGGTTGGCGCTCTGTCAGAGTGGTGCCATGACAGCAACCTCTGTCTCAACATCAGCAAAACAAAGGAGATGATCGTGGACTACAGGAAGCTGCAGAGGGGTGGTCACTCTCCCCTGTTCATCAATGGAGCTGAAGTGTAGAGAGTCAGCAGTGTTTCTAGGCATACACCTCACTGATGACCTCACCTGGTCCCTCCACACCAACACTATTGTGAGATCTGTCTGTCAGCATCTCTTCTTCCTGCGTAGGCTCAGGAGGTTTGGTCTGTCTCCTCAGATCCTCACCAACCTCTACAGATGCACCATAGAGAGCTTCCTCACGGGCTGCATCACTGTCTGGTACAGCAGCTGCACCGCCTGTGACTGCAAGGCCCTTAAAGGAGTTGTGAGGATGGCAGAATCCATCATAGGCAACAACCTACCTGCCTTACAGGACATCTCAGTCCCGCTGCCTCAGGAAGATCAAAAAGATCTGGTCAGACAGCGTCACCCAGCACACAGCCTGTTCACCATCCTGCCATCAGGCAGGAGATTTTATAGCATACAGGCTAGAACAACCTGGCTAATGAACAGTTTCTACCCACAGGCTGTCAGGCTTCTGAACAAGCTGTGAAGATCCTTCACCAACTACCATTTCACTCAATCACTTCGTCAGCATTATTATTATATCATATCATTGCTATGGACAATGACACTTTAACACTAAGTCACTTTAAATAACAATAACACTGCATCACTTACTCACTTTAAAATGTATATTGTCTCTATATTTTGTGCATATTTATAGTAATATTTAATATTAATGTAGTAATATATTTATATTTAATATATTTCAGTTTGTTTTTCTTGTATTTTTATTTTTACTTATTTATTTTCTGTAAAGTGATTATCTGAACCTCACCACATTTCAATGCATAAATGTCCTGACATTTTGTGCAAATGACAAATAAACTTGAAACTTGAACTTGAAAGTTAATTCCATTGGTGTTGCTACTTGCAAGTATTCTGGCAAAAAGCAGCTTAATTTTAATATGTCTTCTTGTCATTCGGACCTGGTTGCTTGTGTCAACGAATGCATTCCTCTCGAGCCCTTTTCCCTGTATTATGCTTGTGTTGATGATTGTCAGAAAAATCAGTATTATACTCTATGCTGATGATTTAATTACCATATATGGTTATGTTTAAGTCAAGAACTCTGTAGGTAAAAGAGTTTAGACAGAGTGCATTGCGTACACTCTCGGGTCAGGTAAAGGGCTCTCTTGTCACCAGTAAGTGAAAACAACAGTACACAAAAGGGGAACTTGACCTTTGGGTAAACTCGAAGAAACGGGATGTGTCAGGTAATAGATAAACAGAAGTTAAAGAATAGTTCAGCTGAGTAAGAGTAAAACGTACATTTCTAAAGGTATAAGACGGCATGACCCAAAGTGCTTTGAGCATTACATTCTAGACTTGACTCTGTGTGTAACTGCTCCCTTGCTGCAAGAATAAAAGCTTCAAAGACATCGGTGGTCTCAGGCTGATTATTTAAAGAAGATTTCTCTTACAACTTGGTCCTTCGAGCCAGATCCCAACATCTCCTCCGCCACCCAGATACAGGGACCTGAACCGCGCGGGGGAGTTTTAGGTCTCCTGACAAGAAAAGACCTCGGGCGCATCCTCTCTGAGGATGTTTGAGTTTTCAAAAAGAGGCCAGGATCATCTGGGTGGTGGAGAAGTGACGGGATCCTTCTAGAATCGCAGAGACACCGTACTTTGAAGGTAAGAAAAGGGTTTTTCTTACGGGTTCATAAAAGTCGAGAATAGGCCATCTGGTCGCTGGTTGGGTGAAGATCCAACACGCGGAAAGTAAAGCCAGGCGAGGGAGTCTGGTCATTTATTAGGTGTTTTTACTAAGTCCTAGTAAGTGAAGACCGGAGGTAGCGCCCCGGCAATAAAGTCCAAAAGGCATAAAGTATT